AGGAAGGATCCAACCACGAAGATCAACGGTACATTAAAGAATATGCTCAAGGAAATGCATATAAATGGGGAAATTGACAGATGGATGATGTAATTCTTAATCAAAAATGACGCAAGACCACCGACAGCCTACGGACTACCGAAGATACTCAAGGAAGGAAATCCTCTAAGACTAATAGTCAAGAACAAGCATGGAGCAATGCACAAACTTGCGAAATTCATTTGCTTGAAGCTCAAGAAAGTAAATGACAGACGCTTGAATATCGTCAAGAATTCTTATGAATTTTATCAAAGGATCCAGAATATTGGATTATTGGGGTCGGAGCTGTTGGTGATTTTTAATGTACAATCCATGTACACAAACATCTCAGGTGAGAAGATGATAAACACCTTAATGGAGATATTGGAGCTAGAAGAGGACATTCTGGAGGCAAAACGGTTACGCAAGGAGTCATTAGCACGACTAATCAACGTGACAGTTATGACAACGTTTGATCAAAGGATTGGCTCCACTTGTTTCTTTGCCGAGTTGTAATATGGTGCTACGAATGGCGAGTCTCACTGACAATGCCGACTACGATGCCGGCGAAACATTTGGTAATGTACCACGTCCACGGTTCAACTTTAGACATGATCATGCAGACAATGGACTCCGGACTAGGTGCGCTCCTTTAAATCTTCTTACCACTATGACTATGTTGCGAAAACAAGGTCAAACAACCTCTTAAATAGGTCACGTTTTCTCCTTCAATGTGGTTTGAGAATGACGCACCTTTAAGGGACTCAATTCTGACAGTCTGTTAAAATCTATTGAGACTCACTATCGCTGAATTTTTATTCTGAGTAGATTAATTTCTTAACTTTATTACTCTATACGTATTCAAGTCTTAAGATTTTCTTTCGCACAAGTCCCTCTGGTTCTAACCGACTTGTATAGCTGAAACCAATTATAATTCATTATTTAAGCTGAATATAAGTTATTTGACCTTGCTTTCTCCACTTAAACGTAACGCCTGGAAGACCTAAAGGACCGCACTTTGTCCATAGTCCACGGTATGCATGATACTTTCCATGTTTGAACCGTTGACGAACCAAAGGCCATCCAACCTTGGTCCTCATCTTCGTTTAATCCACTATGCTAAAATTTTTCTTTATTACATGCGTAGCAATTTTGTTGACCTACTATGAGTAATTAAAAGTCACCTTCCTAAAGACAACTTATTCGTAGATTAATTTGGCAATTCCACTTAAAGCTATTCGTCGTTGCTATCGTCATATTGTTATCATTTTAGCTCCAAAAATTAACTGTTTTGACTCGACTTTCCATTTGGAATGAAAAGTTTTTTCGAAGAAATTCGTGAATTGGTCTCATGGCAAACCGAAGGTAGGCTGCCTTCGAATTAAGATTTATTGTGCAAACAAGTTCTATACCAACCACAATGCGACCTCGATGAATCCGTGCTAAACTTTGGTCTTGCCTTGTGGTAAAAATCTTTAGAGCAAGGAACTATACTCTATGAAATAGCACAATATACTACTCACTTCTAGTATCTAATTTTAGGTTCTTAATGAATCATCCCATGTAATTTAAGCATGGTGTAATCAACCAAATTATAGGATACTTCATTTAGATAGAAAAATTAGGTATACTAATTGATTGGGCTTGCAGCCTGCATCCTGTTCTCCTGGTTTAGCATATCATTGAGCTATTTCGTAGTATAGTTTCTTGCTCTGACAATGTCTGTCACATGACAGACAAGAGCTTAGAACGGGTTCATCTGAGTGACAGGACGGTAAACAGAGGATTTTTTGCACAATACAACAGTCACATTAGCTCACCACCTAGAAACTTACTTTCATAAAATAAATGCTGTTTCCAAATTATTTATGATATTTTATATATTAAACCACACTACTTAAGTAACATTTCTTTTCACACAAAAATAGTTTTAACTACCTAAGCAAATCAGAATGGTGCACTTCAGGCTTCATCACTATATCATCCTGAAAGAGATACCTCTGTTAGCCTCGATTTGTCTTCTGATTCTATTGACCCCCCCAAAAAAGCTGTTTAAAAAGACACATTTACGGGATGCACAGCCATGGCTAACCTCTGAAATATCAGGTGCCAAATGTGAGTATTTTTGAGAATAATTGAAGACGGCCGAGCCGAGCCATTTGTTTTGACGCCATCTCTAAGCTTTCTGGTTTTGTATGCCACCATTATTTTAAAATCGGAGGAACGTACCTTTCTTGTCACAACTTATTTGTTTAATATTATTTACTACATGCATTTTGTGCTATATCTTAATAAGATTTTGATCTTATCGGTTATTGCATTAGATCAAATTTATCATCAGTTATCTTCTCGTTTCACATAAAAATCTCTTCATCTGCAATTTTTTACGGGATGCCCGACTTTTAGTGCCCCCTACTACGGCCGAGCAACTTCGTGCTTCTTGTACTCTCCCTTTATCTTTCTGCGCGCCTGCCGAGACAGAATTAGGCCCCTCAACCAACATTACTTCTTCCTACAACACTGTGCCGACAACAACTGTTGTCTCAGGATCAGTACCTGGTCATAATCGAGTATCATCCATCGGGTGTCGACCACATTCATTGGCCCTTGGCCAACCTTCGTCTACTAGTCATCTAATGACATGTCTTGATTCGTCATCTACCATTCCGCAATCTACTGAATCTTCTCGACCCCAGTCTTTGGTGCTTTCTATTCGCCAAATGAAAGTAACCTCATCTCCAGTATCAGTGTCTAATATTGGACAGCAACTACAAAATACCAGGGCTGTTTCTCGAGCTGTTGCCTTAGTACCCAATCTCGTATCACCTATTTCCTTACAACATCAAACCTCATCGGGGGTAGTATTATACTTATTTAAATAACTGCCTATCTTTATGTCATACTTTACCCTAACTTATAACAAAGGTACTTAGTCGTTAACTAGTTTTTTAACGTTAAATCGTCCTGTTTTTTTAATTATTCAGTATATTATAAAAAATTTTCCTCACAATACTTTGAGAACCATATTTCAGAAGCATATTTTATCCGACGGCAACCTTGTTGTTTAGATATATTTCCTTAATTACCTTGTGCCTTACCGTACGTTTTAATACACTTTATATAATCATCTAAGTTGCTCAATTTTTGTTCTTTTTTTTCGCCTGAAGAGCATTATATATCAACAGTAATAGAAACCAAAGGCAGGGTGCATTATAGTCACTGTTGTTACTACGTTATCTAACTGTATATTTGATAATCCTCTAATTCTTCTCACATTGATTTGTTTATTATGAAAGAAATTACTTATCCAAGATATTATGTTTAAAATATTAATTAATCATTTTCATCACATCACCTAAGGAGCTTTATCTATACTTGTGATCAACAAAATTGGCATTTCCTTTTGTAATAGATTTGATCTAGAGGTAAATATTTTACTCGAAGGTATAAAGACCAAGATGATGTGACCTTTTGTATTATCGCGGTCTCTTTTCGTTGTATAGTAGTTTTTTGACCTTGTTTTCGCAACTTGGTCATATTGGCAGGAAGACATAGCGGAACTCATCTTGTCAGAGTCCATAGTATGCATGATAATATCCTGAGTCAGATCGTGAACCTGGTACATTCAAAGACGCTTCGCCGGCATCGCCATTTAGCCTTATCGCTCTTAGCACCACACTACGATTGTCAAATAGAGAAGTGAAGTCGATCCTTTGATCAATTGTCTTCCAAAATTTCCTTTATCTTTCCTGTGCTGGGCTATTTATCTATCCTTTATTCTCGTATCACCCCTTCGCTATCACAATTTCTTGCTTGCTTATTTGAATGTGGTATAGTTTGCGCTTTTGTGTAGATTTACTGAGACCTCCTTTTATCCCACACTCATTGGCTTTCTCACCCACTCCTCTCCCACCCTTGGTGCTGGGAATGTTGATCGGAGTCTGCCATATTATTACGCAATCCTCTTCCCATAGGTCCCATCAGAGTCTTCTTGCTCCGTAGGATCCTTCTCCCATCTCCCTGGTTTTTTTTATCTCACTTGATCCCTGACACTCGAGGTGTTATTTCCCACACAATTCTTTAAGCATCTAATGGCACTTATACTCCCGCCTCAGTGAGTAGGCCCTAAAGTTTGGATTCTCAAGATGAAGAGAAGACTAACTTGAGTCTATAAATCCCGAGTAATTCTCATGGCCAAGCCTTTGGTGCATTGACTAAGTCTATAATCAAACACGTCTACTGTTAGCCAACTAGCTCTAGTCTCTGCCGCATCTACCATGCTTCTATCTATAATGCCAAGTCTATTACTTACTATGACTTAGTCTTGTTTTCCAACCCACAAATATTGAAATTATTATTATTTTTATTAGGCCCACTGTAGACGTCTCTACTTGGTTTTCCGTTCTTCCTTTCTGGTCACCTTTCGATTTTTTTCTCAGAATTTAAGACGTTACCTAGATCTAGTCGTCTTCTTTTTGCTAACCTTACTGTTGCCAGATCTCCGAGTTTGCTTAGGCAATTTGCAAAGTTTTCGCTTATCCTGCCTTCTTCTAATCTCCTGTTAATTATAGATATTTTATTCAGGATATCGATGACCTTTCGGATTTTGCGTTTTCTCGTATTTTCGCCATATAAAGCCAGTTTTTCTGTCAATTTCGTGCAATGTGTTATGCTATTTCAGGTCTTTCCGTATCCATGTTTTTACAGAGTTTTTGATATTCCCTGATTTGTAGTCAGATTTTTCTTACTGTTTCACCAATATACCGTCCATAGTTGCCGCATTTCATGCGATAAACTTTCGAGCAATGCAGATTATCAATCTTCGGCAGATTGGTGAAAAGTGTTGTCTTCTTTGCTTTCACCTTGATATTCCATTTTCTTAGCAACGGTCGCAATTTCAGCTCAGTTCATATAAGGACGGACATACCCACTCTTGGTCGTCCTCTTGATTCCTGCTCTTATTTTCATAAAATCCGAGTTGAAATCTGCCCTTTATAACCCTTACATTTTTTTCTATAAATTCTCAGGAGTACCCGTTATCAAGGCAATTCCGTGTCAGTTTGTCCTACTCCTCGTCCCAGAACTCAGTATTCGTTAGTCGTAAGCTTCTGATGATCAAACTCCTCAATATTCTGATCTTCAGTCTGTAGTTATGGTGAGACTGAAAAGTAAGGATTTTTCTCACATATTAATGTTTTATGTATAGTCTCCTCATGAGTATCCTGTTGAAGCGCATGACTTCAATATCCAGAAAGGGTAGTCGTTCATCTTCCTCCACCTCCATAATAAATTTAACTCTTTCACCAACTTGGTCAATGAAATTGAGGAAATTACTTAAATTTTCCTTACCATGTTACCAAAGTGCAAAGTAGTCATCCAAGTATCGCATGAGCACTCTTGGTTGCAGTAGTAGTTTCTCCAATTCCCTTTGTAATTTGTCCATGTTTACATTCTCTTGGAGAGGCGAGAGTGGAGATCCTATCGGTAGTCCAGATATATGCTTATAAATACTGCCGTTAAATGTAAAGTAGGTAGTCCTGACTATCAGATTGATCAACTGTTTAATGACTCATTCGTTCTACCTCTAAGATATTCACTTATCGCTTCAATATATTCAGGATGGCTCTTACTGCTTTCTCGCCTGAGGTGCTTCGGTACATGGATTGCACATCGAAACAGACCAACAGTTCCGTCCCACCAGCCCAATTTTTTGGTTCTTTTGAGAAAGTTCATTAAAATTCTTCACGGTATCCGAGCCTCTGTCATTTACTTTCTTGAGATTCAAACAAATGAATTTCGCTAGTTTGTATGTTGCTCTATGCTTGTTGTTGACTCTTAACCTAGCGGATTTCCTTCCTTATGTATCTTCGCTAGTCTGTAGGCTGTCGGTGGTCTTGCGTCATTTTTATTTAAATAATTCATTATCCATCAGTCAATTTGTCCTTTATTATGCATTTCCTCTAGCATATCCTTCAGTGCCCCGTTGATCTTCATTTTTGGATCCTTATTTAATATTTGATAAGTGTTCCAATCGCCTAGGGTACTTTCAATTTTCTCCTTGTACTGTTTTCTGCCTGAAGAACTATTTGATCGTTCTTTTGTAATTTTTGCGTACACCAGTCAATCCGCTCCTGTGTATTGGCTCTTGATGATTTAGGATCCGTGGGATTATTTCCATTCCTATCTCCCACTTTGTCTCGTCTGGATATTTATCCGAAATGTTTTGACTTCCACAAAAATATCATCTAGAACGTTTTCTTCCTCACTTAGCGATACATTTAACCATGGTTTCAGATTCAAGAGGGACTAGGGATAGGTCTTCGTTAGTAGCAATTGATGCTTTCAACATAGAACCATCTAAATTTGCCTGGGTTGGCTTAATCCTGCGCTGTCTTATTATCCCATATCTAAGTAATTTTTTTTCATTTTATAGTTCATCTCAGATAATCTTTTACCTTACTACATTCTCGCATTTTTAAAACATCGGAAATTTTTCTTAAAGTTTTTTTCCGAGATAATTCGATTGCAAGTAGTAAGTCAATTTTATACTTTTATCGCACTAACTTGGAAAACCCTAGTGTTATTTTGAGTTTGACATTTAGAGGGTGTAAAGTTTAATGAAGCTGATATTGGTTAGTTTTACGACTGCTATGCACGTTGTCATTAGAATACTTATTTCTTAAATCTAATCTACTATTTTCTGATATAATACTTTCTTAATTAATATTTATTGTGTCATAATTTGTATGAATTTATCAGACTATTAATAAGGCATAGTGCGTCTTACATAAATTTTTCTGCCTCTTTTGAGTGACCTGATGCTTGATCTCTTTAGATAGTTAATAAAAATTATCATGTTAATTTTCTCCTCTTGTATTCACAAGCTATCTTAAATCTTATATATAACACGGCTGTATCGAACAGATGATAAGTTTCAAATGCTCATGCATTTTTATGTTTATCTTTATTGTTTTAAACATTTCCATCGCCAAATTCCTGTTCTAAAATCTTTGAACTAACTAGACTACTAATATTGGCGAATACTATACAAAAGAACATATATGGATTTCAGTTTATATGAGCTAGACAATCGAAAGAGATAGCTTGCTTAAATGCTAATTGCAACATTGATTTTTTTCATATTACTTGAACATATGGAGTATCGTTACCAACAAAAAACAAAAGTGGCATAAATCAGTTTTTTGATTTTTATGGTTGTTTCGATGAGTAATTTTATAAAGGCCTTGTTTCTTATGTATTTCCAATTAACTAACTTTCTCTCATTGGTTTAATTTTTTTATCAATATTTTTTACAAAGTGTTTTCTTCTATAGGAAATTTAGCAAATGCTATGTTTAATATCTGAATTTGTAACTACATTTTCTTAAGATATTCATATTACGATATCTTTTTTAATCACATTTTCTTTTACTTCCAACAAACTCAAAATTCTGTCCCATATGGTGTATTTTAAGCCTAGAGATCCTCGTCCTCTCCGTTTATTACCAAGTTCTTTGGCATCTAGTCCTTCTGGTCAAGTCGAATTAGCCCGGCGGACCCTCCCTACGATATCCGTTCACTCCACAGTTCCTTGCTGCCTTCCAATGAATAGCTCATTGCTCACGCATCCATCGTCGACCAAACGCCCTTCTTCTGTTAGAATATTTTTGCCTACTCCCACAATGCCGCGTTCATTTCACCTAGAAAGTAGTCATACTGCAGGAATATCGCAGTCACCTACGAAAATGGCTAGTTTTTACCGGCTTCCAAGTAGTGCTTTCTTAGAAATCGGCACTCCTAACATGGTACCTAGTCTCGAGACTGGCCAGCTCAACTATCCTATCCAGCATTGCAACTTCCCATACCAGCACTATATATGCTGCGTACAACCATTTCAAGACCACCACCTGCCCTTCACTGGTGGTATATCGTCAGGACAGATGCATTTGCCACAAATGACTCCGGGGCAGCGTCGATGGGTGCATGTCAGGCCTTCAGGTTTTATGATCTTTCTGTATTCTCATTATTGTTCCTTTTACTTTTCTTAACTCCTTAGTTGACAAAAATACCTATTTATCTCTCAAATATGTTGCACATTTTTAAAAATTATTTTTTGCTCATATTTATTCTTTTATTAAATTGTTTAAAGAATTACGTCTGAGTGAAGAATAGAACACTCCCGAAAAATGTTGGACTTTAACTTTTAGAGTTGGCGCACGCTAGAGACAATAAGCCATTAAATGCCCTCGTTCAAATAAAAATACTAGCACAGAGATATAGTAAGGCATACCGACAGGCAACATCTTCCTGGGTAAATCGGTCTAATATCATCCAATGCCCGAATCTGAGTATTTTATTTGGCAGGAAGTCCGCATATTATATTATAACTTGTGAAAATGCGATAGCATCTATCTACACCAGATTTAAGCAACTTGTGCATGGTCAAGTGTTTCGTAGATAGCTTAGACCAAATCGATTGATGCCTTTAAGATACCTTGGGATGGGCTGTGTCACTAACGAGGCATTTCGAAGATTTTGCTAGATATTTTATATTGGGACATTTCATTTTCAGTAAGCTTGGATGAAATTATCACCACATATTCTCATTTGTTAGGTGATGCAGTTTTAATATGTTAAAGCAGG